CTGGAGTCTTTAATGATTGCCTGACATGGTCAACAAGTTTTCTTCACTCTGGTTGATTAGAACTTTAATTAATCTTCCAACCCCCTATGATCTCTAGAATCTCTATTCATCTCACAGCTTTCCAGTACGTGATATTTCCTCAGCTTTTGTTCTTTGTTCCACTTCATGTAGTCTTACCCTGGCTTGAGCATATTTTCAACCAAAGACCCAAGAAGACTCTTATGAAGCTATATAGAGCCCCTTCTTTGCCCCTCTTTGGTGTCCTTCCTCTAGGCAAAAAGGTCTCCAGGCAGAAAGCCACAGTGATCATTAGATTAATCTTATTTTTTTCTTTACTTTCAAGGATCATATGCCTTGACCAACTTTTGTTCAATATCTAAAAACAGTTGTTTCAGATATAGGTTTCCAGTTGTTTGCAGTGGGAAGGCTGGTCTGGTACCAATTACTTTATCATGGCTAGACATGTAAATCTCAGATTGGCCTTTGGGTTTTGTATACTGTCTTGAAAGGTTTTCCAGTGGTTTCTCTTGGAGAGGGTGAATAGTGACTTGGAAGGACATATGGGGTCTTCTGGGTATTGGTAATGTTCTACTTCTTGATTTGGGGACCCCCATATTGAGTTTGTGAATAAGCTGCAAATTTAAATAATGTTGATTTTTCTTTTTGTATAACATACTTTAATGATTTCCCTATTCTAGTATTAATTTTGGTTTCTCAAAAAAGTTTTCAACTTTTATTAGGTAAATAGTTTGCTATGCTTGCCCAAAAGCTAGACCTCCAAGGCCTATGAGTCAAGATTAAAAGCAGAAAAGGACTGTGTTCGCTCTAGAGATTGGGAGGTAGAAAAAGGGAGGGATCAATAAGACAGAAGAACAGAAATATTAAATCAACTTATTAACTATTTCTCTTCCAACATTCAGTAACCTACATTGTTCATTATTGTTTTAAGAAGTGGATTTTCTTAAAAAGAAAGTGGATTTTCTTTTGAGTGTGTGATAAAATGCTAAATTCTGTTTTAAGGTTGTACAAATGTAAAATCAGAGGCTTGCCTGCAGGCTATACTAAGGAAGGTCTTTTTACTGAAGATAGTAAAAACATTTTCTCTGTTTTATCTTCAGTACTTCAGAGTTTTGCTTGTTAAATTTAAAGCTTTACTATCATCAGATAATTAATTTTATATATAATGTATGATAGGCATCTGATTTTTAAAAAATTGGTTATATATAATCATTCCAGTACCATCACTGAATAGTCTATATTTTTAAAAATGTTAAATGCTTCATTTATCATATATTAATCCCTGAGATTATGTGGGTTATTTCATCTCATTCATTTACCTATTTTTTTCCTGCCCTAGTATACTCATTTTAACTATTGTAGGTTTATAATATTTTTAAATATCTTCTGGTGTAGGTATACCATCCTCAATCTTCTGTTTTTCAAAAGGTATCAGTATTTTCAACATCAGATTGCTTCAGTTTGCACCAAACAACAGACTTGTATATTTAACTATCAAGTTGTCATATGCTTTTGGAGAGCCTTTATGCATCTGAAAAGCATTCATTGTACCAAAACATATTGAGAAAGGCACTATGTTAGATCACCAAAGGGTGCTTAGTCTAATGGCAGATGATAAGTAAACAATTAAAATATTATTAGATCATTGCTAAAGTAGAGACAATCGATGGGAGGAAGTGCCATAAGGACTGGTACCCTTACAACAACTCTTCAAAGATAAACAGTAATTGATAGTAGAGAAACACTGTAGAAGACATTTAAGACAGAGGGCTAACTATTGCAAGGACACAGTAGCACGAATGAGTTTGGCATGTTCAGGGTGCTATATGTGATTCGGAATGGTTTCTTTTATTCATATATTTGTTTATTCACATTGGATTCAGAGTTAGCTAGACCATTTGAGCTTGTGCCAGATTATAATGGGCTATAAGATTGTCTTGTAGAGACTATTCTAGAGTTAATAAGGGAACTGCTTAGAAGTGAGTAAGAAGAGAAATCATGAGATCTGAATGAAGAGTGTAGAGATACAGATCTGACTAGACCCAATGTTTGACTGGACGTGGGTGTGAAAGACAAGAAGGAATTCACTCATTCATTCATTCATTCATTCAGTAAGTTGAATTTAATGAATGCTAAATGAGAATGCTTAGGTTTCTGGTTTGAGCAAAAAGGGAGCTGATGGTGCCAACTCCCAAGATTGTGAATAGAGGGAGTGGATAAAGTGTGGAGATAGTATATTGATTTCAGATATGCATGGCCTGAGTTTGAAGTGCTTGTGATACACCCCGGTGTAAATGTCTTATATTTATACTTGTATTATTCTGGTGTTTGAGATACACATTTATTTGTCACCTATGTATATATAAGTGGTTGTTGATGTCATGGCCAAGACTACCTAGAAGAAGGTTGTAGTACTGAGAAGAGAGTGGATATCTTGGGGAAATACCAGCATTTAAGGGGTTGGGAAAATAAAATTTTCCTTCAAAAGAGTTTACTAAGTGGTCAGAGAACTGTCATGGAAACTAGCAAGAAGGGAGCAGTTAATGCACTAGGCAATGCAGAGAGGTAGCGAATGATTAAAAACTGATCACTGAATCTAACAAGAAGAAGCTCACTAGTGACTGTAGCAAAAGCAGCTTCAGCTGAGAAGTGAGGAGCTGTAGATAGCATCCAAAACGAAATTCAGCATCTTTCTCTCCAATCCGATTCCTCTTTCTGTAATCTCTTAGGCACAAATTGTCCCCTTAGTCTCCTAAACCAGAAACTTTCTAAACCCCCAGTCCCTTCCCTCTAACTTAGTATCCTTGTCTAATTAGTCCCCTGGATTCTACTTCTTTAACATTTCTAGTATTCCAGAAGGATAAATCCCAAATATCATGATTAACACGTTGGTGATACTAGAGATGACTTCTGTTTTTCTCTTATAGTTTGCTTTTTGAGTATTTTTCTGGAATGATTATGTATTTACTCATGTAATTAAAATAATAAAAGTTTAAAAATAGTGTCTCTCATGCATCATCTGATATCTGATATCATCTCTATGTTTCCAGTCTACTGCCCAGGTCAAGTCAGGATTATTACAATGACCTCCTAGCTTCTCTTTCTGCTGCTAGTGTGGCACTCCTCCGATTCTGTCACTGGGCAATCAGAATAAACTTTGTAAATACAAATCTTAATACGTCATTCTCCAGTTAAAAGTTCAATGGCTCCAGGTATCTTTTGAGGACTAAGTTCAGACTTCTAGCACTCTGTGGTAAGGTCCTTGTCTTATCACTCTCATTTCATCTCTTTCCTTACTTCAACTCTTTGTTTGCAACTCTTTTTCAAAGATTAATAATAACTTCTAGCCTTTGCAAAAGCTGATTTGTCCCCCTTTCCTTTGTTAATTCCCACTCATTCTTTAGTTTAAAAATCAAATTTTCTAGACCTTCATTGCAGCCCCATTCTAATTTAGATAGTCCTTTCTTTTGCTATTGCAATCTGTACACCTTTCAGTCAGTGTTATCACACTGTATTGAGGTTGTTCATTTTCTTAATTTGTTGGCTATTTTTTTCTTCTGTAAATTGACTATTCATACCCTTTATCCACTTTTCTGTTGAGCTGTGCTTTTCTTACTGATTCATAGTAATTCTTATTTATGTGACAAATTTTTTCTCAGTCTATTCCTAGGTTTTAGAGTTTATTTTTGGTGTTCTTTTGTACTTTTTATTTTTTAATGTTAAAATATATTAACTATTTAAAAATACTTTTTGGTCTTGCTCAAGAAGACCTGTAACACTAAATTTACTTGCTTATATATTTTTTCTAGTATTTTTTTATGGTTATCTCTTGGAATTTGTTATTGAATAAGCATTGTGTACATTATTAGTCTCTTCATAAATATAATTTTCTAAGGTTTAAAGTTTTTTCAACAAGTTAATGAATGCCCACTTAGGTGTTGACACTCCTTGTCAGCTGCTGGGGATAAAATGGTAGAGAGAAAGACAAGACCTCTACCTTAACAGAGCTTCACTCTGGAGGTGGAGGCAGATAATAAGTAAGTAAACGAATAACCCAATTATTTGTTGCTTTTTAAATCTAGAACTACCTTTTGGAGTGGTAACTGGAGTGGTCGTAAGTAGGCAGAGGTTGTGTACATAGAACTGTTTCATTGAACAGATCTCCCATAATTTACCTAACCATTCTTTAGTGTTGGGTTGTTAGATGGCTTCTACATTTACCATTAGACTAATGATAATGCTGTTGGGAATAACTCCCTGTGTGTTTATTTTCATGGAATTGTTTCCTAGAATGTAATTACTGGATAAGAACAACCACTATTTTTGTACACACCGGCAAGTTGCTTTCAAGGGGGAATTCCAATATATTTACCAGAGAGTAAAGTGAATACTGCTCCGAGAGGTAGGACGGGAAAAGTAACTGTCAAAAAAGGTACGTTTGGGTTCAGCAAACGCAAACGCTAAATGAGCTGACGGTGTGTTTATTAATCGGGAGAGGAAGGGTAACGACCAGGAAAGCATTTGCTTGGGAACAAGGATCCTAAACTCGTTTCTGCCACCCTGTAAACTCATAGGTTATAGATCCTCTGAAAGTTAGTTATCTGAAACTCGGTAGTCTCGGCCCAGATTTGTTTTGCAACCTCTTCATACTAAGCATTGCCTAGCCCCTCCAGACTCCAGACAGCAGGTCGTGGGACTGGCGAACAGAGAGGACTGAAACTGGGGACTGAGCAAAATGCCAACTAATCACTCGCCGCACTTCCGGCGGCATGGACAAAGGGTTTGAAGTCTCTGCGACCGCACTTCCGGAAAATTAAAGCTGCTGCGTATCAGCTGGAGGACTACGTCGACCGGCCGCACCGGGTGCCTCTGCGCCGCATCTGCGCATGCTCTCCCTTGTCGCGAGGCTGGGCGGGGCAGTGAATGGGGCGGCCCCAGACCCTGACTTGTCTCGTGGTCACTGGCCAAGTGCGAGCGCGCGAGGCTCGGGGGCGATCTAGGGCGGAGCCTAGGCGGAGCGGGAGCTGTAGTTCTCCGCTGAGCGTCGCTTTGCCTTCGGGGCTGAGGTCGGCTCGGGTGAGGCCGTCGTCCCGGAAGTGGCTGTGGTTGTGGGCTCCGGGTGTATTTGGGATCCTGCGGCGGAGTTGTTAAGGCGGTCCGGTATCATTCTGCCCCCTCCACCTTCCCTGCAGCAGACATGGCGAAAGGCAGAGTCGCCGGACGATCGCAAATGGGCGCCCTGCATTCGGCTGCTGTGGGGGACAGGGCAGCGGGGACACGGGGTCCCACGGCGCCGGGCAGCGGAGACCACCTGAAGGGTGAGTAGACCCGGGAACCAGAGCTGGGGCTGGCCCAGAGGCGGGAGCGTGCCGGAAGGGGCTGCGGAGGGAAAGGACTCCCGCCGGTCCCGGGGATTCGCAGGGGGAAGGGGGCCTGTGGGCACCCAGGGGCAGGAGCAGAGGCAGTGGGAACCTGGGCTTACGCCGCAGCCCACTGCAAGGCCCGACACCTGGTACGTGCGTCCTTAATACTTTTTTAGTTGAATTCAGTTACAAGAAAGAATGACGTTGGCTTGTTAATGCCTAGGGTGACTGTAAGGATGATAATACTGAAGCGAGGCAAAGCTGGAAGGAACTCTGGCATTTGTTGCTTTATTTTTTGAGGAAACGGAGGCCTAGAGTGGATATAACTTGCACAAAGACACAAAACTAGATTAGTTAGTAAAGTAGTAAAGAGCAAGCATTAACTACGTCCAGGTGTCACTTCGAAGTGGCAGGAACACTTAAGGTTGAGTCCCTGTTGTACCACTTGTGACTTTGGACTTGATATCTTGCAGAAGCTTAGTGTCTGATCTATAAAGTCTAAGTTGGTGCGTCGATTAAATAAAATAATTCATGTGAAGGATTTAGTGTAATGTTTGGTTTATATGAAGTGAGGGCTAAGTAAGTGTTGGGGATTACTGTTATAACTAAGACCTCTGATTCTCAAGCTTTTTTCCCACTACACCATCCTGGCAGTTCTCAGGGCTTTAAATGTTACTTTAAGAAAAAAAATTGTACCTAGAAACTAAATATCTTGATTCCATGTTGACTTAGAGTTTCTCATTTCTTTTCAACAGTTGAAATGATTAAGCTCTTTAAATGCTTTTAAGGCCCATAATCTTAAAGAGATCCTAACAAATGTCCCTTAAATTGTTGCAGTTTACTCACATTGCTGTGTTCCACCACCAGTGATGGGTAAGGAGAGGGTCTTTTGAGTATCTAGTAACATTGTAACTATAGTCAACTATAAAGTAATACACAGTTATAAAATATGTTTAGACGTAGCTGAAATATTTTTTAATCAAATTTAAAATTACTAAAATTTTTAGAAGTGTCTAGCAGAAAGTAGTATTTTAATTTTAAATAATTTAAAATGTCTCCAGTCTAATTTGGCTCTTTAAGCTTTGTATCTTTGGGTAATTTTTCACCTTATAGGCAGTAGAGCCAAGTAACTTCAAAACCCCAGAAATGAATTGTTCTCAGTATAAATCCACTTTAAATTCAAAGGACATTGTTTTGAAGATGCTGCTATTGAAGATGTTTGAAGGGATTACACTGACAGTAATCCAAGCACTTCCTGGAAAAGTGTTTTCCAGATAAGACATCCCTAAAAATAGTCAGTTTGGTTTACAATACCTGTCAGTTGTTTTATACCCCCCTTTTTTTTCTAACATGAAGCTGTTCAGAAAATAAAACCTTGAAACCTCTAAAATGCTTTTATAATTGTTTATTTTATCATTAGAACAACCCTTTCAACACAATTTTTTCTATAATGCTGTCACACGATTTCTGTGGGCTACAAAGCTATGGAAAGACAGATGGCAGAGATTTGAGGGCATGCCTTCGGGGCAAAACAGGGTTTGGATTAGTAGAGAGAAGGGAAAAGGATTCTGGGAGGGGAAATACTAAGTTTGAAGGTGAGTGTAAACCTTTCGTGTGTGTTAATGAGATGAGCTTGTCTGGATTGGAAGGTTTCTGTTGGGTGGTAGTAGAAGTAAGGCTTTAGTGAAAACTGTAGGCTTCAAGTGCTGCACGAAGGAGGTTTTTAGATCCATCCTGTTTATGAATGATGCCAAGTTTTTTCTTTTTCACCTCCTTTGCCTCTGTTTCTCTCTGTCTCTAATCAGTGTCAGGAATTCTCTGGGAAAAGATTTTTGTGGCCTCCTTACGTAGAGTTTGGCTACTTGCTAGTGGTAATCACTTGGTGCTGTGGTGTAATTAATAGTCACTTAGCAACTGATTTTCCAGGTTATGAAAAACAATTTTTGTTTATTACAGGTGGTAACTTGACATTTAAAAAAAGGAAAGGTTTTAGAGAAGAGATAAACATATTAGTAACTCTTGTTTGAAAAATACATAGTAATAGAACATTCCTATAAATTCCATGACACTTTAAATAAATTTGTATTTTTATTAACTGACACATCTGCATAAGTTTGACAAATAATTGTCATTGTGTGTGTTTGAAATATTTTACATGCTACATGCAGTGTTTGGTACATTAGTGGGTTCCTTGCTGTGGCTGTGGTCTCTAGTCTAACATTCGAATCTTGCAGACTGAGGACCACTGTGAAGACTTGAGCAAGGCAATAACACTGAGAGTCTAATTCTTGCATGATGAGGAAGAGTGGAGACAAGAGGTGGAACTACTTAGGAGGCTTTTGACCTAATTGTGTACAAGGTTGCCTGGACCAGGATATTTTGTTTTCTTTTATGTCGTTTGCCCTAGCTCATCTGTTTACTAGCAAGTTATAGAAGTTCCCCATTTGGATATAAGAGAACCCCTAGGATCTTGTTTTTCAATACATAGGTCATTACACTTGTGAGCAGTGTGAAATCAATTTGACTGGTAATGATTTTTTTTAATGAAAGAGGAAGTAGGGCTCTGCATTTAGTAGGGGGTATTGTTCTTTGAATTTTATTTTTCAGTTGTATAGATTTTGTGTGTACCAGATCATGAGATAAAATACGTTGCTTATTGTGAAATGCAGCAAAAAATGTTGGCATAACGCTGTCTCAAAGTTGGTCTTTTAGAAGACAGTATTGTTTGAACTTGGATAATAAATCCCCCTCAGCTGTCTTTTATAGATTCTGCCTTGCTAATTTGGTTCAACAGATAGATTACCTGAGCATATACTCTGAGCAAGGTACTGGCTTTCAGGAAGGAAGTTCTGATTGCTGGTAAGTGGGAACTAAGACTAAAATTGGCAAGTGGACATAGCCAAGGTTTTAGTATGATTTATTGATGCCAGCCTCAACCCAAATAATATGTATCAGAATTCTCTTGCTTATACATCTGTGGAAAACAATTGAAACTTGCTGAGAGTAAGTTTATTGGTTCATGTAACTAAAAAGTTGAGAGATTAAGTGGGATTCACTGGCTTCAGTCTGGAACCAGTAACTCGATACCAGGATCAGATTTCTTTCATATCTTTGTTTGCTTATTTGATGTCAGCTTTACCTTAAGGTTGATTACTCTTTAAGGTCCAGGTAAGCTAAATGCTCCTTGAAAAATCTGAGGATTTTTTTCCTAGCATTACCAATAAAAGTCTAGTCACTCTGATTGCCTCAGATCAAATGCTTATCCCTGAATCAATCACTGTTATCAAAGGTTGAGAATAAGCTGATTGGCTCAGCCTGGTCCAGGTTTGACACCTAAAAAAGGGAGTAAGAATGAGGCTTAAGTCAGTTTACCTGAAGACATGAATATCTCTGATGGGTTGTGATTTCTTATTGTGCTCAATCATCTTGGTGTTGGAATGAAGAAAGTGAACTTGCAGCACTAATTTTGGGTTAGAGTAGATCTAAGGAAAGGATAAGAATTACAGTCAAAGGTGGTGCTTCAGGTGGTAAACCGTGGAGTCCAGGCTGAGCATGGAGAAGAGATGTAAGTAGCTCGACAAAAGGAAGAAAATGGAGGGAATAAGCCCAGGAAAGAATAAAGATGATTAAGGAATGACATAGTGGAATTTTAAATGTCTAAGGCAGAGCAATTTTAGGTGATGGTTGTGAACTTAGTATAGCCCTGGAATTGAGTGGCTGAAGTTGAATAGGAATGAAAGCCTTACCAGTTTTGAGGCTGAGTGATCATCTAAATGGATCATAAATCTTAGGATTATGAAGTTTACTGTAAACTTGGTCTCAGTCTTCAGTGAATGGGAGGAAGCATCTAAAACTAGTTAGATGACAGTGAGTGAGGGTGTGTGGGTTAGACTGTAGCAGAGTTGCCGGACATAAACCTTAGGGAATGAACTTTTATATAAAATTGGCAGTGCTATTTCTTCTACCCACAAACATGCTGTGTTTTTTTAAATGGTTAGTTCTTTGTATTTTATAGTAACAAGCTATTTAAATTTACGCTTGATGACATTACTATTTTTATAACTAATAATTTAAAAAGTGTTAAGGCCCTTGAAATAAAATTTATTTCCAACAGTATTACAGTAGCTTTTTGTGACTTTAAAAAAACTGTAAACTTACATGCTCAAGAGAGATGGGTCTTTTGCTTCTTCTGTGGTGGTATCAGGTAACTGTAGAACACACTGAATGCTGAGAAGTAGTGCACTAGGTGACCAGTAAAAGTCATTCCTAAGATTTTATAGATTTAGGAATATTTTGCTTTTCAGAAGGTTTTGAAAAATAGGGAGCCTTTTTGAAGTAGGGAGCTACTATAAGAGCATTAAAGCGCTATGATTTTTCAGGATGGATATATATGTATTAGAAGTTAGAAAAAGTGCTTGTAAGAAGGAAGAATAGAAGAAAATTGAGTGAAGGAGAAGAGTTAATTCTCAGAGCAAGATCTTGGCATTTGATGGAAAGATACGGGGCAGGGGAAGATAATTTCATCAACAGATCCAGAGGTACTGGTTGGGGGGCTCACTCAAGTATGGAGGCAGTGTCATTGGTTATGAATAGAGGAAGGTAGATTAAAACAAAGATTTGAAAACACTTGAAATAGTCCTTTGGAGAGTGCTGTAAAAGGATTTTTATTTACCAGTGATGACTGTAATTGAAGATAGAAAAGCGTATGAACTTGTAGGCCAAGGAAGCATGGTGATCAGACTTTCTTTAACAGTACCTTTGGCCTGGGAGGAAGTTGGAAAGTAGATAATGGGATAGTTCACATTGGGAATTAGTATGGAGGATTTGGAGACTAATGGATGTATAAAGTACTCTAAGTGTTACATGACACCTATCTAATGGAACCAGAAGTAGGCACATTATAAATATGCATGTTACACATTTAAATATGGAATTATTAAAACAAGATTTTTACCTTTTATCTCTGTTTAGAACTCTAAATGAACTACTTGCTAGTCTGTGGATTTATTAGAATTACATTCAAGAAGAACTGTTGAATCATAATAGCCAACACTCCCAATTTTACCAGTTTGTGTGAAAGAAAGAGTTTGCAGCAATACTTAGGGGAGTGGCATAGAGGTAGATCCATTCTCAGAGAACTAAAAATAATAAACCCTACATATTTTTCTTAATCCCTGAGTATTATCAGTATATACATGGAATAGTGATAGATGTAGGCAGTAAAAATTGCCTTGTGAACACTGTTAAGGTGTCTTGACCTCCCAACCATTTACTGCTTCCTGGGAAAAACAGCCCTGCTCATTCTTCTGTTTGCTGTTTCTTGAATCTTGTTCCATACTTTTATCTTGCATACAATTTTTTAGGTAACACTATGATTACCTTTTGAAGGAATGCAGACAAATTCTACAATTCTTAAGAGTCACAGGCAGCCTCCCAAAACACTTGAAGTTCAACTATATTCTGAAGCCCTTGATGTAAAGAGAAAGTATAACATTCACCAGTGCATTAGTGAATATCTAGGTTCATATGACCATTGAAGTAGTGGCTACATTACCTCATTTTTCCTAAGAGGTCATTCTGTCTGTGCTGTCACCTCCCAATATAGGTGTATAAAATTGAAAGTCAGTAACAGTATTTTAGAGTAATGCCCTTTCTTCCCCTTCAACTTACCAACAAATGAGTGCTACAAATTCTGATGTTCTAATACATCTAAAACAGATATAGCCCCCAAAATAATATGCCCAGTTAATAAATATCAAATACAGTAGCACTTAAATTTTTATGTTACAGTGTTTTAGGCAAAAGTGAACAGTTTTTGGGATGAGAACCTTTAAGGAAATTTGGTGGCTTGAAATACTATCTTCCTTTATATTTATCTTAATTATAGCTCTTTTTTTTTTTTTCCTTTCAGAAAAAGCCTGTGCAGAAGCTGGGTCAGCAAGAATGTCACTTCTTATATTAGTGTCCATTTTCTTATCTGCAGCTTTTGTCATGTTTTTGGTATATAAAAATTTTCCTCAGCTTAGTGAGTAAGTATACTGAAAGAAACTGAAAATGTCTTGACATTTACAGAGTGAAAGTGGATTGAAATTTAAGCTGGTTTTAAGCAACAGAACTGTTATGGTGATTGTATATCAGCTGCATCAATGCTGTTAGTTAAATACCTCTAAATACCTCTTTCCAAATATGCCTCTTAGTTTTCCTTTTTTTTGCTTCTTGATTTTCAGTGTAAGATTTTTCTAGTACTGCTCCTCTAATTAAGGCCTAGTTTTTCTAATGGTTTTCTGAATTTAAAAAATATATAGAACATGAACAAATACATTTTTATATCATGATCCTGCACACATTTGCCCCCCTCACTTGCATTTATATAAACATATAAAACTAACTTTAAGTTTCATGCATAGGTGTGGTCTTTTTAATTTTCCATACCATTCTATGTATTTCATTTTATTTTTTAATGCTAGCAGTCACTAAATAAATTTATTTTACAGTCCATAATAGATGACTTGCAGTTTGAAAAATACTCATGCTCTTCCCTGCCTTCTCCCTTTTTCAACCCTAATTTCTCCCTTCCTATTTTTCCTTGTGATCAATTTTTGTCTGCTGTTCATCCATTTCCTTCCCCATCACATCTGTTTCCTGGTTCTTTTTCTCTTCCCTGGTCAATGGAAATGATATGGTCTGAACAGGTATTTTTCACAGTGAAATGGACCTTATGAAAGACTTGTATATCTAGTACATATCCAAACTTCCTTAGCCAAAACCTTGGGGGTGAAATATATTTCAGAATTTAGAATTTTTCCATTTAGGAAAGATAACACAAAATAAATACTATATGTTATGTAGTACCTCCAGCAGGGTCTGGGTTAGCATGCCATAATCAAATACATTAATATTTTTGCAGAGAAACCCATATCACAAAAGACTATAAATAACTATGTATGAGTCAGGTTTTGCTGACAATTGAAAGAGGGAAAAATATCCCAGGGCTATTTAACCACAAAAATACCACCCTTGTATGATATTACATAGATTACATAAGAGACTACTAAAATGTAGTTAGCCTTTCAACCAGGGCCAGTCTGGTATGGTAATGGGTAACTGTGAAATGTGATTTCAGGGTATCAGGATGTTCCTGTTTTCTAATGAAATGTTTCTGTTTTCATTTATTAATATTAGTAATTCCTTATGCTTGAAATTTTATAGTTAAACTTATTTTTATTTTAATACTTTGATTTCTTATCATCAGTGTAAATGCCTTTGGGAGGATAGCATGTTATATTGTTACATTAATGCTAGTATGATTGAATTTTAAACCTTTTCTGGTTTTGGTGAAAGAGAAGGGAGTAAACAGCTGACTGAAATAGGTAACAAAAAAGAGAGTGTTGATGAAGGTCATCTTTGCTCCCAATCTGCTCTTAAGTATGATATCATCATTTGTATATAATAATGTGCTATTACAAACCTTTTATATTCTACTTCTTTCTGAGTGTGTATATGCATGCATGCATGTACAACCCTCTAAAGAGTTTTTGTTTTTAAATTTTTAAATGAGAAAGCCCATTTTAATTTACTAGCTATTTTGATGGAATTTGGGCAGCATTCTGTCATTCTATATGTTCAGTTAAATTTTATCTTGTAAACAAATGGGCACAATATATATTAAACACAGGGGTGATTATTTGAGGCTTTTATAAGCAAAAAAAATATTCACTTCCATACAAGGCACCAAATAAAAAATAAAGTTAATAGAAAGGGAAAACTAAGTTTTTATCTGAACTTTGAACTGGGGTATTCCATAAAAGATGTGAACTGTAAATTCATTAAAATTTTTACTTAATTTCAGTTGTAGTTGTTTATTGACTTTATCATGAGGATTATCCAAAATGATGTTAAATTATGTTTTAAATATGTTAACATCAGTGGTTCATTTTTTAATTTAAAATTTACACTGGTGTTAGAGCAAATGCTTTTACCTTTACTTTGGTTCATCCTCACTTGAATATATAGGATTACATGTCTCATGAATTTATATTAAAGCATTAAAAAGCAAATAACTATAGACTTTTGAACTTAAAAATTGAGAATTTATGCCTAACGTATTTCAGATCAAGGCATCAGATCATTTTGAATAGAACGTCATGTTTTGAACTTTGATATTAATTATTTGGTAAATTTCTGTTTTAAGATTTTTCACTTTAATTTTATTTCTTTAGAGAAGAAAGAGTGAATATGAAGGTTCCCAGAGATATGGATGATGCCAAGGCTCTAGGAAAAGTTTTATCCAAATATAAGGACACCTTTTATGTACAAGTACTTGTAGCTTATTTTGCTACATATATTTTGTATCCTTTTAACTGAAAAATGTTTAGTTTTGTTTAAGAAAAAGGGCTTGAAAAGTCTGCTGTTCAGTTGTGCATAATTTTTTCATATAAAAAATGTTAATGTAGTTTTACAATATTATATGCTGAAATATTAAAATGAAAAGTTCTTCAATCCTCTCTTCAACTCAAGTAGTTATGAATATTTATTATCATTTATATATTCTACTTATTTTACTTACCTTAAATGTTTTCCTTTCCCCTGTATGAAGATAATTATTTTGTTTACTTAATTTTTGATAATTTTGCTAGTTATTTTAGTTTAATTTAAAGAATTATTTTGAATTAAAGTCACCATACCATAATTTTTAAAAAATTCCCTTAGATTTGAAGATATAATTTGTATTTTATTTTTTGCTTTTCTAGATGCTGTGTAATGAGTCTTTTTCTTCATGATTTTTTTCTTAACATTTAATGCTTTTAAGAGGATAATTAGTCATTCAAAGGATAGGAAATTTTAAAATAATTCTTAGTATGTATTTCTTTGTTTTATAGAATAATTATATATTTTAACTAGTCAGGAAAATAGCTTTATTCTTTCTCCATATTTTCAAACTGCTTATGCTGCTGATGATTAATCTTTCAATTTGGTGGACTTTGATTTCTGATTTTTTTATCTTTTGTTGTAATCCAATTTTCCAAATCTCAGTTAATGAGAGACATCATTTCTTGATGCTGTGAAGGTAATCATTACCTCTTTTAAGTCAGCTTTTATTTTTAAAAGGCAAATTAGTTACTTTGTTAATTCTCTCAAACTGTTTCTATTTTTGCTTCCTCTTTTATTTCCTGAATTTCTTTTGGTTTGTTGAACTTTTCAACTAAAATTTTTCTTGTAATATTAACTCCTTATACAAATGTTTTGAGTATATACTTAATTAAACATGTTGGGCCAGTTACCTTAGCATAAGCAACATAGTGACAAATACATTTACAAAAGCTTTTACTGCTAATACAAAAATTACTCATTCACCCACCTGGTGAGGATATATTTTTATTTAGGTAATAAGCTTTATGTAGGTACTTTGTCATTATCTTCCCTATTTATTATTAGAAAAAATCAAATTTGGAGAAAATTTGGAGCATAATTATTATGCACCTATCTTTTGATAGGTTATTTGGGGCAGATATCTATAAAGTAACTTAATTGTATGTAAACTGTTTTGAGAAAACCATAACTGCTGCCTTTTCCTACTAATTCTATTTTGTCACCTGTCTGTGAAAAACACGTTTTTGGTTTATAGGTTATTCTGTCTTTATAAACTTTAACCATAAATTAAAATATTTGCCTCAAATCAGAAACAAACTTGGTTCATCCCTTTCATTTGGCTTTTCTAAGGTTTTTGTGAACAAGGCAGATAGTTTCTGTTTACTTTGGAAAGTCATCTTCTTGCCCCATTTTGCCTCCCCAGTTTGGGGAGGGATACAGGCTGGAGGATAAGGGGGATGCCCACCATAGGTCTTCCATCTAGTTAGCATAAATGAATCTTAACCATCTGTGGGGTATACATATAGCCTAGTTGTCTTAATATCCATATGAAATTAATAGAAAAGAACAAAGTGCCCTGTAGAAAGTGAATTTGAAAATACAGGAATGGTTCATTATGAAGTATATATTGTTCTAAATTTTAAGTAAATTGGGTAATATTAATTCAGGCTTTATTGCGTATTGTTACTGTTTGTTTATAATTAATTGTAATGATTGCACATAATCTTAGATTTTTTATAATTTGTTAAATCCATATTTTTAATTTTCTGTTTACATTTTTTAATCTTAAGCTCTGAGTATTAAAAAGGTACTTTTTAAACTCAGTGAATAGAAGAGAAAGACTTTATCTTAGGGCATATAACCAGTACAATGCTGATTAACTTTAGCTGGTATGTCAAAAATATTATCATATGTAATCACTTCAACATATGTAATCAACATAATTATTAATGAGATATTCTACATTTTGTTTTCATACTCTTTGAAATGTGTATATTTTGCAGTCATAGCACCTCTCAGTTTGAACCAGGTATATTTCAGTATCTCCATAACCATATAATGGTCACAGTACTCAACAGTGTGTAGTACTAGCACCTTCACTGGTAATACCTAACTTCAAACTCCTGATCTAAAGTAGTTCTTAAATTGTAATTTATTTTAACCCAAGCATTCATTCATTTAACCAGTTTTTTGAAAGTACAGTTATATATGCTAAGTATAGATCTAGTGCTTTGACCATTCAAAAGCAGAACTATTTCTCTGTGGAATAATGGGAGAAATATGAGTAGAGATATGACACAGTCATTCTAGACAGCAAGTCTAGAGGAGAGCATACGAGCACAGGGCATGGTTAAGTAATCAGTAGTCCAGTTTAGTTGGAGTATAGGATGTGGGAAGGGGAGGATCAAGAAATAAGTGTAGGAAGATAGGCTGGACACTGCCCTTAGGTTGTAGAGGACTTACTGAGTATCAGGTAGGGAATTGAGAATATTCATTTGGTATTGAGTAGTCATTGAGGACTTTTTGAGCTGTGGATGACATTGAAAATGCCACCATCATGTTTCTTGTTAGTTTCCCTAAGGCTTAAAATCTTATAATAACTTAAAATTTTATTTTATTATGGCAAACTTAAAACATATAATAGTAGAGAAAATTATATGATGAACTTCTGTGTACCTGTCACCCAGCTTCAACAATTAATCAGTATTATGTTGGTCTTATTCTTGGAAGTTATCTTTGACTTTGTATTTTTGTGTATGGGCCTTTAAGAGAAAAAGAGAATGGGTAGAAGACCATGTTTGGGGTTGGGAAGGGAGGGTAACATCTATTTTGAAATAGGACATGCCAAGTTTTAAATGTTCAAGTAGAAGTATCCATACCTAAATGTCAATCAGTAGGGGACTGGTTGATAAACCACTGTGTAGCTTATTAAAAGAAGGAGAAGTGTCTCTCTGTGTTGTTAAAGCTTTACGTCCAGGTTATATTATTAAGTGAAAAGACACTTAAGTAGGTGCAGAATAATAAGTATGCTGTTTTATCTCAGAAGGGAAGGATACGAGTACACGTATATAAACATAGATTTTTTTGTTGTTGTATTTTTTAAAAAGGATATCTTAAAAAAAATACAAATGTTAAACTATGTAGAGAGATGACAGGGAAGGAAGTGAAACTTCTTTAAATGTACTTTATTGTGTAGATTTTAAATGAAGTATTTAACATAATTGTAAAACCAATTAATCAGAATGAAAAAAGAAACAAATTAAAAAATCTAAAGCAACCTTATGCCCATTAGAGAGGCTACTATAAAAAAAAAATAGAAAATAACAAGTGTTTGTGAGGTGGTAGAGAAATTGAAACTGTTAATTGGAATGTAAAATTGAAATTGCACTGTTGATTGGAGTGTAATATGGTACAGCTGCTGTGGAAAACTGTATGGTTTTCTTCAAAATGTTGAAAATAGAACTACTGTATGATTCAGCAATCCCATTTCAGGGTTTATACCCAAAAGAATTGAAAGAGGAGTCACAGAGATTTTTGCACACCCATGTTCATAGGAGCATTGTTCACAGCAAAGGTGGAAGCAACCTAAATGTCCTTTAATGGATGAATAGATAAACAAAATGTTGTATACACACATATAGTGGAATATTATTTATCCTTAAAAAGGGTTGCAATTCTAACAAATGCTACAACATGGATGGACCTTGACACTATGCTAAATGAAATAAGCCAATCAGAAGAAGACATGCTGAGTGATTCCACTTACATGAAGTGCCTGGAATAGTCCAATTCATGGAGAATGTAAATAGAAAGATGGTCATTGTCAGGGCCTGAGGGAAAGAGGGAGTGGAGAATGTTGTTTAATGGGTATAGTTTCAGTTTTGCAAGGTGAAGAGTTCTGAAGATAGGTTACACAATAGTGTGAAAGTACCTTACTTTACTGGAAAAAGATTAAAAATGGTTAAGATAGTAAATTTTATGTGTATTTCACTAAAATTAAAAAAAATGTAAAGCAAAGAAGCAGGTGGTTTGGCAATTATTTCACATTGTTTCCTTGAAAACAATAATTTGGCATCCCTTCTGGGATAAATCTGAAGGACAAAAAAGATTTGAAAGAAATCTTAAAACCGTTTTTAATTATTACATTGTTAGTAATATTTTGAAATTTAAAAAATACGTAAAACTTTCAGAATAATACTAATGTACATTTAATATGTATTTAATAGTATGTAAAGCAAGTAGGTAATTATGTTTATGATATTAAGAACCAAGATTTTTCAGCAAAAGAGAAAAATACAAATCTAAACAGAGCTAGAAAGTTAAGCCCAAATTATATTCCCATGCAGAAAGAAAAATGGCATTGTTAGCACTTAACTGCAAGATAAAGTACAAAGGAATATATTAAAGCATTCTAAAGGATACAACGGGTAAAATGCAGAAAGTGTTAAATCTTATATATGACCCTGTTTCTTCAACAAATTGCAAGAAAAAAAAAGAAACATACCCTATAAGTATGGTCTTTTTTCAAACTTCATTTGAAAAAAAGCCAGCTTTTTCAACTTTTTGTCAAAGAAAAATATTGTGAGTCCTTTGGGAAATCTGAATAAAAACGTTATTTGTGATAGTAAGGAAATTAGAATTAAATTCTTGAAATCTGACAGTGGTATTATAGTTATGTTCAAAAGGAATCCTTATCTTTTATAGGTATTAAAGTAGTTGCAGATGAAATATATGTCTTGAGATTTGCTTGGAATAATCCAGTATGAGGGATATAGACCAAACAAGATTGGTTATATTTAATTGTTGAAGTTGTGTATGGGCATATAGGGCATTATTATACTAGTTTTTCTACCTTCATATGTGCTTGAAACTTTTCATGATAAGGGTCTAAAGAGCCCTGAAATAAATAAAATTTATTTTAAATTAATTTTCTAACTGGAGGCATCCAGTAACAGATGGAAAATTTGAGACTGGTATTTAATTGGACAAGCTGAATCACAATTCAGAGCTATAGTATATATGGCCATATACTTGAAGCCATGTATACTTTCATGTTCATGGAAATTGCTTAATTTTTCAAAGGAAAGGAAGAGGAGAGTATGGCTAATAGAATGTTAGAGAAATCCCAGATTGGAGGATGCAGAGAAGAAAAAAATTGGAGAAGGAATGGTTTGTAATATAGAAGAAAAAAAGGACAGTTCACTGGAGCTGAGTTTCACCCAAGAGGATATCTGATCCTATGTAGGAATCATTAAAAAATGACTGAGAAATACTCATTACTTTTGGCCAGGAGGAATTTCAGTATTTCAGTAGAGTGGTGGATGAGTAAGTTGGGCGGCAAGCGGACAAGGATCTCCTGTGAGGAATTGGCAATGAGAGGCAGTAGGTGGGTTGGGTGGGATACCATGGTCAAGGAAAGCCTAGGTTTTCTTCAGTTCATAGGGATCTTGAGTGGTTTTATAAGGAGGGATCCTGGGAAAGAGCAGAGAGAAGTTGAAGATGAAAGAGCCCAGGGGAAGAAGGAGGAAATTGAAGTGAAAACATGAATAAAGTAGGACCTAGTGAAAAAGAGGGAGAATGGGTGAAGATAGAAAAATTTTACATTTGGGAGGAGAGATGTGGAAATTCACTTAGTCTGACTGACTTGTAAGTAAATCATCCAAAACATGGATGGAAAAGGGGACCAGGCCAAAACTGAGACCTAGAGGGAGGTAAAAAAAGCATAATTTAGTTTTACAGAGAGAATGGTGAGTTTTTTCCTACATTTTGTAACCCCTATCCTTTTTAATGAGTGGTGAATTGAGATAAATGTTCGTGCTAAATTAGAAATAAATAAACATTATACACTATTTACATCTAGATTTCCATAAAAGTCATGTTTTATGAAACCATTTGAAAGTAAATCCAGTGCATTACAGATGCATATGTAAGGGATTACTGAAGATCTTCTCTTTTTTCTTTCCTTTTTTTGTTTTTTTTTGTTGTTGTTTTACTGCCAAAGTGCCCAGTTCCTCCCTGTTTGGTACATGTTGGATATTTGTCTTGTTGTTTTTTTTTTTTAAGTACACACTCCTATTAGCATTGTATTTGTTAATAATGTTAGTAAAGGGTAATCTTAGAGTTACAGGCATGAGAACTGAGGAGTTGTATATTTTAAACTTTTAGATATTATTTTACTCTTAAAATACTGAAATATGGATGTAATCTTATTAACATGATAACCTCTGGATTGATAATTTTTTTCTGAAATGTTGGATTTGTCTTTTAAAAATTCCAATTAATTATGTTTTAATCCTTAACTTAGAAGTTAACAGCTTGCAAACATTTGCTATTCCTGGCTCTATATTTCTCAGTATACTCTCAGGGTTTCTTTATCCCTTTCCATTAGCCTTATTTCTTGTTTGTTTGGTAAGTATATAAAATGAAATTGGGGGACTAGAAGAAAAAGCTTTATTTATTCATATATTTCAATTGAAATAATTGTTGATAAATTGATTTCAGTTATACATTGTAGTGATTTGACATTATACAGATTATTAAATGTTCACCATGATGAGTGTAGTTGCTGTCTGTCAACATGCAGAGATATTTCAGTATTACTGGCTTTATATTTCCTGTTGTACTTTCATCCCTGTGATTAATTTTAGAAAATAGCTTTAAATAGAATGATAATGATGGCATCCTAGTTCCACTAGTTTATTTAAGCTTAAACACATTAGTTTTAAGAAGTGCTTGATGTTAAAGTAATATCTGTTAAATTCCTCTTTGAGGAGGTAGTGTAGTTAGTTTTTTTTCTAGAACAGGGGTATTCATAGACTTAATTGCATTTGTAGGCTCTGTTTTAACCTTTCCTTCCTATTGTGTTTTGTAATTCACATATTATAAATTCAAATGTCCAAAATTGATGGGTATAGTGAATTAAGTCCCAGGATTGGGGTTAGTGTTTTCAAGCATAGCAACTTAAAAAAAGAAATGGCTATTGAAGTTTTGTTCTTAGGCTAAAGGTTAACGTTAACTGTTGGATATAGTCACTAAGTTTAATCACAATTGTCAGTTTATTTTAGCTGGTCTCAGTTATAATTTGCTTTGAGAAAGGACTAGATCAATGGGTTTTTGTTCTCTGTTTAAGAGATGTCATACAGAATATCCTCCCCACACCCCAAAAGAAGTAGACTAGTTGAGCTTTTCCTTAAGTAAATATATCCATGTGAATAAGATGGAAGAGTACAAAATGCTTTTGGCTTCTTGTTATTTTCTAGTGTTCTGGACTTGGTGCCTCATTCTGCTATATGCTCTCCTATTTAGTTGGGAGGCCAGTTGTGTACAAATACCTAACAGACAAAGCAGTAAAATGGTCACAGCAGGTAAATGTGTACTTTTAAATTATTTAATGTAATTATTTGGCTAACTGGGGAGTCAGTGTATAGCCTCTACATAAATTAACTCAAACCATTCATAAAAATGATCTTTTGACTAAAATCAAGTGGTAGGCAATTAATGAATGTTAATAATTTCAGATATGAAGTTGGTAGACCTGTAACAGTAATTCTAATTCTTCATTCCTAGTAAGTTCAGTCAGCAGAGAAGTTAAAGTGTTGATGTGAAAGCATTACTCATGTAATGTATATTATGAAATGAAGATTATCTGAATTTCTTAAAATTGGAGGCTAGGTTTATTGATGTGACTGCTATACTAGCCCTTAACATTATAGGCAGTTAAAGGCATTAAAAAGGTTGGTCTATTGATGTGTATCTTACATCTAGTTGTAAGTTTAATTTTGCCATTTTAGGTTTAAAATATCATTGTTGAGCCATATTATCTAGGCTGATATAGAACCACCTGCAGTAGTGTAACATTAAGCTGTGAAGCACAGTTAAAACCCTCATATCATTTAGCTCTCACAGCATTTGATCAGTAGCTGATGGTCATTTTCAAGCTCCTTTTTTGATCATTTATGTTGTATAAACTACTATCAGGGATAGGAATTTGAAATGAGGTATTTTATATTAAACAGCTTATTTTCAAGAGTAGCCTTATCTTGATCCCAATTTATTTCTCTCTTTTCACAGGTTGAACGACATAGAGAACATCTTATTAACTACATTATATTTTTGAGAATAACGCCATTTCTGCCTAATTGGTTTATTAATATTACATCCCCTGTGATAAATGTGCCATTGAAAGTCTTTTTTATTGGCACTTTTCTAGGTAAGGCCTTTGGTTAATGCTGTATTAGAACTCATGTACATATCAGATAGTGCCCAGCTAGGCTAGATTATATGTTCTTTGCAGACATGCCAGCACCATATATAATTGTTGGGCACAGAACATGGCCTATATAAATAGATGCTCAGAAATGTTTATCGGACTGTGTCAAGTATTTTTGTGTTACTTCTCTTAAATGAGAGCATTTTCTAATGGATATTTTATTAAAGCAGGACTTTTAAACTCTATGCTGTCTCATAGTGGAAAGAAAAAAATCAAGGTGTCTTTGTTGAATAATTTTCTGCTTTGTTTTCTAATCACGTACTGAAATATTTAACTTTGGTTTTTAGTAGAGAATTGACCCAATTTTTATTTATATTGATATCAATATTTATGGGCATTACCAGAAGTATGGGGGGAAGCAAGGATCCACAAAAAGTTTTTGCTTTCAAGGAGCTGACACTTAATTTTGAAATTAATCAAAATTAAATGGACATAAAGATTCATTTATATATTTTATGAATTCTGATAGTTCTTTAGTTAAGAGTATTATGGGTTTTTTTCTTTTCAAATTTAAGCTGAATTGTTTAGATAACAGCAGGATGAGCAGATTCTTCATGTACTGTCTGTTAAAGCTTAAGTTAATACTTAAGAGAGTAGATAATTTTGAAAAAGAATAATCAATCAGTTTTTATGGCTACTTTAAAAAATGCATTGACAAACTTAAAAATCTGAGTGAGGTAATTTTGGATTTTGTAAAATAATGTTATATTCATGGAATCAGAAGAGAGAATTTTGGTCCCTATCTCCTTATTTTATAAGGAAATTAACTGGAGATTCCATTAACTTTCAGCTTTAGCTACAGTAATTTTTCCAATCTGTTCTGGTTTTAATGAAAGTGATTGTTTCACCTATGCTCTTGCATAAACTGCTTTTTGTACTAATATTTTGAGTATCTTTCATTTCTGAGTATCTCCTTCATTTTCAAGTATATTCTGTAAAGAGTGAATGACAATGTACTCAGTCTTGTTAAACATTTAGATTGTTTTCAGATTTTTGTTAATGATGCTTCAGTGAACATCATTGAGATTAGATCTTTGCTTATATACATTAGTATTTCCTAAATTTTAAATTGCTGGATCAGGGCACATTCTTTTTTTTAAGGTTGTTAGGAAATGTAAATTATTTTCTGGGAACTTGTGTTATTAAGTTCATTATACTTACTAGATGATTATGAAAGATTGAATTATTTCTGTGGAAACAAACTTAAGGAGTTTTAAAATTAAATTAAAGATTTCCAAAATAGAAATTACTATATTCTTACAAGAAATTGTATACACATGATTATTTTTAAAAGCAGTTGATTGTTTTTACTCTTGTGTTTTTTTTTCATTTTAGGTGTCGCACCTCCATCTTTTGTAGCAATTAAGGCAGGAACAACTCTGTACCAGCTTACAACAGCAGGAGAAGCTGTTTCTTGGAACTCAGTATTTGTTCTAATGATTTTGGCTCTTCTTTCTATTCTACCAGCCATTTTCCAAAAAAAACTAAAGCAGAAATTTGAGTGAAAAATAAGTTGGGTTTTAGTTTTACTATCCTTATCATCTCAGGATTGGCAGGTTTATGTGTTAAAATGACGTCTTCAGTAATTGAAACAAAGAATTTGTAAAATAAAATTTCCTATGAGACAGTCAAAATAAGGCACTTAAGTGGCAAGGGAGAGAAGAAAGTAAAAGTGGAAATTGATAAACAGTGAAAAGTGCTGTCAGTTGTTACGATAGACATCTAAATTACTATTCTAAGAGTATCAATAGGTAACTAGTAGCAGCATAGTAGGAAATTCTTGAACCAGTTGATTCTCTCAATTTAATCTATTTCATAAACTGGCTATATACATACTTACCCTTGACTTGATAATTGAATATTTTTCTCTCTTTTCCTTTACTAATAACTAAAATAGAAAAAGCAAATTTAAAATACAAAAGCAAAGATTCTAAGTTTTTAAAAATAGTATTGCAGTTCTGGCTAATGTTAGCCTTCTTTCAGAGCATAAACTTGAAAACTAACGCCCAAAAGAGATTTACATTTTCTTCCTCTTTATCTTTGAGGTAGTGGGATTTATTTAAAAGTTGCATCTTATTGGACTCCTAAACTTAGAAGGGATATCAAGTTACATCTGCTTTGTGAATTTTATGTTTTTTTCTCTTCTAGAATATCATGGATTATTCTGAAATGTGAAATTCTGACCAATTTATTTTCATCTTTTTAGCTAGCTTTCCCAATATTTCCACTGTGCATATACAAAATGGCAATTACATGATAATTATATCATATTAGTGTTGATAATTTTTTTTCAGTTAATATTTTGTTACACAGTTTCTCTTTACTAGCAAATCTCAAAAGGGGGTCAAAACAAACATTCAAAATATTCATTTTTTAGATGTTAGATTAATTATATTTATATTTTGAAACAGAAGCAGTAGTAGCTCAACACATTTAAGTGGTTAAATATAGTTTATTTGTTCCAATGACTGTAAAATTTACCTCATTTATTTATTAGTCTGGTCATTAAAGTATATATTATATAATCGTTTTTATGCATGATACACTTAAAAGAATACTTTGTTCATTTCTTTTGATGGCTTTTTTGGGACTGCTTTTGATTAATGCAGTTTCCAATTTAGTGTTTTTACTTTTTATAAAACCTACAAATAAAATGAACTTCTCACATGGTAACTACTATATTTAAATAGTCCTGGAAAAATATTTGAACAGCTTTTTGCTGCTTACTTATTGTTAATATCCTTGATTCCAGGACATAGTTGATCTAAAGTAAAGTACTCTTGCCTGTTTTACCTTCACCCAAGACTGTCATGTTGAAAAGTACTTTTAGCTATGGGAGAAGTCTGTATGTTTTTGGTGTGAGAGGCATGGTCATCCTCAAAGCCTGTTTCTACTACATAATGTGGACTGATTATTTTTTCTATCACAGTATTAACAAATGAATTTATTGTAAATACAAAGAAAATATATAATTAATATACTATTCTTATGTCACTTGGCCTTTTGTGTGAAATTATTTGTTGTCATTTTTAGCAAGGTTTTCTTCCTTCTTGACCAGGGACTGAGTAATAAAGCTTTTGTTATTTTTATAAATGAACTTAAAACATAGCCTTTTTGGACAAAATTCACTAAATATTACTGTATAAAATGTAGTTGAGTAAATTTTTATCAGACTTTTAAAAATAAAAGTATCAACTTGGACTCAGGAGAAGCCTCACTATTTACTCCATTGTGTATATATTTATGTATTGTACTTAGTCTATTCTCAGAATATTTTGTCTATCCTTATCATTGATCCTTTCCCTTTGCTGATTATTTTTTCTGTTAGTAAATTGTAGCTGCCACTTAAGGTAGGTTTATTTTCTTCTCTCAAGAGAACAGCCAGACTTTCCAGATGCATCATCATTGACTATCAAGAAAGAACCCTTCAGCAGGTTGTACCCTGAATGCAGTTAGTGGCCTGTATTCATGGATTCAGACTTGGTCTGATACCAGATGTTTAGATTCAAGCTTCAGCCATGCCTTGTAGACAGTTGCATAGTAACAACTACAAGAGAGCAAGTA